AGTTAAGTCCATGCTTCTGGTAACAACCTGGAAAAGCCAAATGCATTACAAAACTCTTACGGTTAAAAGTATCAGGAAAGTAGAGAAACAAAGTACAGTAGATGAATTAAAATTCCAGAGAGGGAGAATCATTCAGAAGCAAACAGCTGATTTAGTCTCTGGGAACATTTGCTGATTCAGGGTATGGGCTGAGGATCAGGGTCTGGCCCAGGCCAAAGGTCACCACTACTGGTAGAAAGAGTAATCAACAAAACTTTTAGTGGCTGCATGGACTTACAGAGGTAATATTAAAGATTTGAGGGCCTCAAACACATAGCCAATTTTCTTCACAAAACTGAATTCTGAGACTGTGAGTGGCTAAAGAGGTGCTGAAATCTTCCAGCCTTAGAGTACTAAGAAACAATAACCCATCAGGGAGGAGGACCTGAAATAAAATGGGCAAAGATGAAGCCCTAGAGGGCATGCCAATTTATATATACCTATAGCCACTTTTTACCTGGGATCACTTACCAATTTTGGGCGCAGCTAGAGGTTGGGAATCCAAGCGTGGCCCCTGGCAGAAGGTCCCTACTGGGGGACAGAGAAACCAGCAGAGATTTTGGCGTTCATGTGGGGCTGGAGTGACAAAATTGGAGACTTCAGGGGCTCAAACACATGGCCAGTCTCCCTTTCAAGACATATGCCAAAGTTTGAAGCTACATGGGGTAGAAGGCTAACAAACTAAGCCAAAAGCCTCTGAAGGGCAAAACTGAATCTCCCAGTGTCTGTTAGAGCTGAAGAGACAAATACCTACCAGGCTCCCAACTCAAAACACTTGGAAGGCCACATCCTAGGAACAAGGTGAATCAGAGATAAAGTCTTACCAAAACCACAAACCAGCCCTGACCTAGCTCAATTTCTGATTGATTAACATCAGTTGCCCACCCTACCTGCCTAGGAGAGAAAAGAGGAATATAAAATCATCCAGATCCCCTAGGGTTCTAGATACAATGTCCAGCATACAATAAAAAGTTACTAGACATGAGAGGCAAAACTATATGACCAACAACTAAGAGAAAAAAACAGAAAACAGATACAGACCCAAAGATGATACAGACTGGAGTCAGCATATAAGGATTTTAAATAACTATGATTAATATGCTCAAGAAAATAAAGGAAAAGATGGACAAAATAATTTTTAAAAATGGAGACT